TACGGGTGCTTACTTTTGTAGTTTGAATCACAGGAAATCATCAAAAAATGATACGGTGGTCTTGATGCAAATAATGTTTTACTACAAGCATAAATTTGCTAGTTTTTGTAAATCCTGCAGAAGCAGCAAAGTGTTACATCAGCTGCCACAAAGGCAGCTCATCACTTGTTATCTCCATTTTGGACAAGTTAATAAAATAACATTGGCTCGACAGCCATCCAGCTTATTGAAGTGTAGCCTTTGGTGAAGTGGACCTATTCATCTTGATGACACATTAATACATAATGAGGCTGTTCTGATTTTTTAAATGTGTCTATTCATTTGAGGCTGTGGTAACTTCAGATACAGCGGAGGCTGGTATACTGCATACAAGCTAGGAACCACTGGACCATACAAGTATCTGGATTTATTGAATTTGTATTTCCATACAAGCAGGAGAATGAATTAAATCAAGTTCTGTTCAATGTTTTGTTTATGACTCTGTCTAGTAAGGCCTCCTAAATATAGTAGTTATAGCTCAACAACTTTCCACCATGATGGTGTCACCATTCAGTCAAAATTCTGAAATCAAAATCTGACAATGTGACATTGAATTTTATCCACATCAATGTGTTTAAGCACATAAAGCACAGCACAGAGGCATGTGTCAAAATCCTTGTTAAGGGTTCTTCTTAACTCAGAAGATTATCCTGCTTATTCCCTGGTCACTTGCCAAAAATGTTTAACAAGAACACTGGCACATGTTGATGACTGCTGTGGACACGTTCTGCAAAACATTATGCACTAAAGGTTAGCCTTCTTATGCTTGGGTTGCTATTGTATTAGCATACTGGCATGGTTGCATAGGTTTTTAAGCAACTTTGTTGCCTGCATTTGAATTTAGAACAGTGAATACCCCCGAGCCAAACCATGCCTTAAATCAAAAATCAATACTAAACATAAAGCAGTCTTAATGCATTACTAAAAAAATTGAGAAACACAGCTAATGCAGAACTAATAGCTCAAATGAAATGAGTCTTTATACAAAGTTTTAAAGCTCTCTTTCACACAAAGATACTTGTTATTAGATGGAGGCCATTTTATAAGGAATATATTTAAGCTCCATGTAACTGTTCGACTGCATCAACACTGCCACTAGTTGAAGAACAACCTCTTCCAACAAAGTCTCCGTTATCAGCCTTGTTTGTTCAACCTTGCCACTCATTAGCAGACCCCCCTCTGGCTGTATGAATGGATAGGGGAGGTCAATACGCTGACCCTGCGTGCCCACTCACTGCCCATACTGCAAACAACAGAGGCCCGTGTGTTCTGCAGATTGCATCACAACCCCACTAACGAGCAGAGCCACTGGCCTGAGAGCACTAATGCAATTATGCAACACAAGCCCCAGCACTGTGAGTCGGGGCTATGGGAGAAGAAGGATGAATTGGATGTGACAATTTGTGGGTTTGTTATCTTACCATGTCTACACACAGCCAAAGACGCACTCGCTTTAGACTGCTCTGATGTTCACGAGGAGGGATATAAAAGGGAGAGAGAGAGAGAGAGATGAAAAAAAGACGGTATGGAAATTTCAAATAAAAAACTAGATGATGCAGAGAGGGTGAGAGATTCCCAAAAGGAATATGTCTGAAAAGGCAAACACAGAGTGAAAATGAGAAGGAGCTGATATTAGCATGTAGGATTATGTAAGCAGTCTGGCAAGAGCTGTCTGGGGACACAGCATCACAAGTAAACAACACCTCTAGAGCTGCCACTATTCCATGTCCTCCTCTGCAAGATGTGTACTCTACATGTAGACAATCACAACAAGCAAATATAAGCAGAGATACAGTTATATTATAGGATATAGTGCTGCTACATGGTGCAGCACGCCAAAGCAATTTCAAAGATGAAGCTTGAGCTTTTCCTGACAAGACAGTTTGACTTAGTGTTGTAGCCGGGCCCCTGTTATGGCCTCAGCTTTTTCAAATGGTTGAGTGACGGGAGAACAACTGCTGGTCACCTCGGAATCTCAAACACTTTCAGTTTAAACTGTGATGTACAAGCTGTAAAACAAACTAGACCACTTGACTTTACACTGCTCACAAACTATGCACAGGCTCTATAAAACCAACAAATGATTTCTTAAAATGCTACGGGGATGATGATCTTTACGAAGACTTCTCACTCCTGAGAGCAGGAATCCATGGTAGGCAAATGCCTACCAGCTAATGCAAGCAAGAGAAGGATCTATAGTAAGATGAGTACCATAGCATACTAACAGGTTATAAAAGACAGTAAAGAGGTTGTAGATGACACTGAATACATGTCTGCTTTTAAATGAATGTTTTCCAAATTAGGTTCATGCCTTTGAGAGAGAATTTTCTAGACAAATGCTGATTTTACTGCCTGATTGATACTTCACTTCAACAGTATATACATTTTTCTTTCACTCCAACTTGATTCCAATCTCATACCAGTACATAAGGCCAAAAATGTTGACTGAATGTGTCACTATCTAGTAATGAAGAAGTCTGCCTAAGATGTTTAGTAAGAGGCCTAATGGAGAACAGACATCCAGGAGAAAGCAGGAATTAGCTTCTTTAAACACCGGGGCAGTAAACATTCCTATCTAGAGAATGAGGGAGGTAAACACTGCTTATTATTAATCACCCTTGTGGGGAAATTAGCTCTGTGCAAAATACAGCCTGACAGCAAAGAAGCCTTGTAGATCGTTGCACCTCGACAGGAAAAAATGAGTGGCTGAAGAAAAATGTAGTTATCACATTAAGATTTGATACCTTAGGGACAAATTTAGCAGTTCAGTGAAGACTTTGCGTGCCACTCTTTTACACCATTTTTCAAATCTAACGAGGACAACGAAACATTTTGAAAATAGTCTGTCATTCGACACAAGGGGTACACTAAAGCTGAAAGGCTATCAGCTGTGGCTAAGATTACGTTTCCCATACATAGTCTGGATTCCCCAGGTACCAGTGTTAAGTGTCGAGCACGAAGATAAGAGGAACTTGATTAGCAGGGGTGCTATATTTACTGCCATTAGACAGGGCCCTTTACCCTCTGAGGTGGTCCAGATCATTATGGAAATGCATCTGAGGAATTTTTATGTACTCTGGATGTAAAGCATGAGAGACTATTGTGATTTTACATTTGTGTTTTCAAAAATTCACCAGCTGGTTAAAGAGAAATGATGGCAGGAAGTATCTTACAGAGGTGACAGTTCATCTATTCTAATTAAGTCAGAGGTTTGAAAGCCCTTTGTTGATGTTAAATGGTGACAAAGAATACTGCAACTAATGACAGTAAATATGAGTCAATATATATTCAAATATGTGCATAAATACCAAGGCATTTTAAAGGTATTTTGCATGTCAGACAGGGAAGGAAAGATGCTTGTTTACTAAGAGTATCACAAAGCCTCATGAGACTGAAATTCAAGAGCCTTGTGTTTGCAGTTATTCTGCAAAGGCACCTTTTGAATGTGTCTGCGCTTTTGTACATCAGCTTTTAAACAAATACTCACTATCAGGAAGGAATGAGGAAGAGGAGGGCAAAACAGTGTGACAGTAACAAGGGAATTGAAGTTTTCAAGCTGCTGAAAGTGAGACATTAGTATTTTTGTACCACCCTGGTAAGCTCCCTGATTTGTAGGACACACATACCTCGAAACATTCTGTACGAGTTCATTCTGTACTTAAGTCTAGACATATAAATAAACAAATCTGTGTTCAAATCTGACTTATTTTGTTCTATTTCCAACAGAGTAACTTCATCCTAGACCCACGTTGCAGGTTATCTAGCCATCTGTGTCCCAAATAATGTAGCTTATGTCTAACCAAACAGTTTAACAGGAGTATTATAAAAGTCTGCAAACAAATAGTTTTACTGGGACTGGTATGAATCAATATATGTTTCAATAATGTCACATATACCATGGAAAAATGGAGCGCCCTGTGACGTTTACAAGGAACAGACAAAGTGCCTCGCTGTATGTCGGGTCCGGCAGTAAGGAAACCAAGAGAACCCGTGCTACGAACCGAGGCTGGGAACCACCCCTTACTGTGTACCCAAGGGGTCAAGGTGACATTCCACAACACCTCTGAGACTGGCCTAATGGAGGGATTGGAGCATGGCTTTTGTTGAGTGGGAAAGAAGAGACCATGAAAAAGGGTGTAACAGGAGATGGAAGTATATAAAAGGGACAGAGAGAGGAAAAAGTGATTCCGGGGCCAAATTATGGGAAGGTAAGCGGTAAACGGAAAGAGGACAGGAAGTTTCAGGAGGTAGAATTTACACTTTCCTTGACATTTAGTCAATCAAAGTACAAAAAGTTTGGCAATTTTTTTTATTCAAGCCTAAATTAATCTTCTGGGTTTGATGCATAAAACTTCTCAATCCAAAACTGTAATCTGAGTTATTTGCTGATGCTATTCCTGAGGTGACTGCGGTAGCAACCACGGTTTTATTTGACACCATTTCCCCTGTCCACTGTCACAAAAGACAAAAATTCTACTCTAGCTCTATAATTGTGGGTTTTGGCAGAACAGATAAATACAATTCACTTCTGGCGTTTGGGTTGTAAAATCTATTCACATCTCTTTAATTTACATTCCCTTTAAAGCATCAATGTGTATATGAATGCAGACACATTACAGAGGAACAGACAGCACTATGTAATCTGTTTGTGTGTGTGCAGAAATCAAACACTGAGGATAATTTTAAGAACACAAATGTATGTAAATCACATGTATTCTTTTTTTGTGAGTCAGAAAGGTAAATTTAACCTGTAATTGTTGATCCATAATTCCCAATGTTCAAACACTTTGAAAACTGGACTTAAATAATAAACTTCTCCTTTGTTTTGGCATTAAAATGCACATGAGCACATTATCTCCTAATGAAACACAACCCTGCAGTATCTTTTGTGGTATTTAACCCTAAAAGCCAGCAGGGTGCAGGTGCAACAGTCCATCAAGCAGAGGAAATTTAACTCTTACCGTCATAAAACCAAAAGACTGGAGACTTGCTAGGAAGAGTCAGGTATAGGTGAGCTGCGAGCCCAACTGCCTCTTCCTCACGCTTTGTCTTGTTATGTTCTGATTTGTTTATACGTCTTCTTCCCTCCGCTCAGGATAAGTCTCTCCTCCTGGTCAGGCTTTATTCCCAGGTCTTATCCCGTTTAATGCCTGGGAAGCAAAGAGACAACAGAACGAGGAGAAAGTTAGAGAGCCAAAGAGTGGGAGTGACAGGGAATGAGAGTTCCCTGTTTGGGTGAAGCAGTGATCAGATACGGCTATTTTCAGACTCAGGCATGCTCGTCTATGAGACTGGAAAGTTACCCCCCAGTGTACATGGGTGGGGGCAAAGTGACAGGGTTGACTATCTCTATTTTACCACACGCACACATGTTTGCATGCATACCACATGATATGCACTCACAAAAACAAGCAGAGACAGACTATACTACATACACACTCTACAAACAGCATCACACACACATTGAAATTCTAAGGTACAAAATGCGTGAGGTAGGTGCACCTCTGACAAGTTATGCATGGTTAAATGACCCAGGGTTAGGATGGCAGTGGGAGTGAGCAGACAGAGAGGGGTGTCTCCACATGCCCATCGCCCCTCCAGGGCTTTAATGTCACACAGCAGCCAATGTCGTCAGTGTGGGGCTATGTCAAGTGGACGACTCCACACGGAAACTGACAGGAGTGTCAAAGTGTTCTCACAGGAGACTTTCTTTCACTTTCTTTTGCCGACACATTGACTGCCTGCGAAGAGGGGGTGGCTCAGAGATGCGCAAATGTGCACACATAAACACAGAGGAGAAGCAGACACACTGGCTCTTGCTCTTTTTATCACAACTAAACCATGTGCAGTCAGTGTCATATCGGGCTGTAAATATATACAGACTAATTATGTGTCCACTCACCTGTGTCATTAATAATCTTACTGCTGTGTAATCCATATGGGAATGTATATTTGGAAATGACCACACACGTACACACACAGGCTGAATATACACAGCAGAGGAGGTCAGCCAGAGGCACCTCTAGACCCCAGACTCCCTGCTATTCCCAGAATGATGATGTAACTACTGCTATTAGCATCTCATTTTTAGAGCCTGGATACCTAAAACCAACCAGGCAGCTACTGTGCAATATGCTATTTGGATCACTTCCACCTCCTCCCTTCACACCCGTATTCGACAATAAACAAAACAGGCACAAAAATCAGCGACTAACAAATTACCGTGTTGGGTTCAGGAAGAGTTCAGCAGTCGTTATAAAGGAAATGGTAATGCGGCTCCATTAGTAGCTAGTAAATGCTGATAAGATTGCTGAGCGGTGACTTATTTTTTCTCTACAAACACAGATGGCTGAAACTACTGTGATTGTAACAATTACTGGTACAGTTACTGATGCTGCCTGTTGTTGAGGTTTTCCTGCCTTGTTCCAGCTTACTTAAATAAAGCAGTGGGGTGACATCAGCTTCCTTAGTCCACATCCTTTTTTAAGCTGGCGTGCCAACAACTAAAAACAATCCCATGTGTCGCTCTATATCTTAAGTGGACCACTTAGTGCAACTGTAAAAAACCACTGAGTTTAGCTGGGTCACGTATTTTACGCAGATGGTGTATAAATCTCCAAATGTAAAACACGAAACTCATAAACACGTTTACTCAAGTGTCAACATGCTGGCAAACTTTAAATCAAACATGGACGGCCTTAGCTGAGATGTCCTGGATCAACACTATCTGTGTCTGCTGTCATCATGCCAGTGATGAAGTGGTAATGTAAAAATCCCATCTACACGTGCACGGACAGCTCCAATGATAAGTAGCACTCCTGCAACTATGCCCCCCAAACAGTCCAACTGCAGACCGTAGGGTTTTGGCAGCCTATTACAGTGATTGGTGTGTCAGCAGACGTGATCAAACAGCAGCTGGCCCCTGGAAATTTCTGGTCACGTGCCAAGGATCATGGAGGTATGGTGAAAAGCTGACGACTGACAGGTGCTAATGATGTAACACTGGGGACAGAATCAGGGGAGTATCAAGAGACCGATAAAGTATTGAACGGCCGCAGCACCTGAGTTTAGTTTGGTATTAAACTTAATATCTATGTACTTTAGACATTATCCTTAAACCCAAATGAGACTTTATAAAGGATGACCAACAGGGCTTCAGACCATTTAGTCTCATTTTGCGCCCATTTTTGGAGACAGTGCTACTAGGGTGCTTTCACACCTGTAGTTCGGTTCATTCGGTCCATACCAGAGGTAAAGTACTGCTGCATTTTAGTTCTGGTTTGATCCCTGTTCACACCGACTTTTTGCAAATTAACCAAGAGGGATAATCATGAAGTTCTACCGCCTGGCAAGTAACATGTCAATTGGACAGTTTTGGGGGAAATTTGGGGAAATCAATTTCCAACAAAAGTTTGTGCAGTAGCACTTTAATGCCTTTAAAATGTTTATTTATGTTCTTTGGTGTCACAAAGAGCTCATAGAGAAATAACTGATTGGAAGCATTATTAGTGGGAAAGTATTAGACTGCAAATCAACTGCGTGTTATGAGTAATGACTAACATAGAGACAGGATGAAAGGAATGCATCTTGTACAGTAATGATTCGGGGTCTTACACTGTGGAATCACTGTCACACACATTTTAATGGACATAATCAACAGACAATGCACACCTAGTCAGATACAATCATGGCAGTATTAACAGTGTTTTCATCAGAGAAAATATCCTTGCCAACATTCATACATATTACCATGGTTACTTGTATGCATTAGCATAAATAGGTTATGGGCTACACATGGCCTTCCTCAAGATCAATAACGTGAGTGCTGATGGATTTCACAATCAGCAGATGGATTTGTTGTTTAGACTTGGTGTAGCTGTAGAAATCCTGCTAAAATAACATATTAGCTTGCACCAGAGTCCATTTGGAAACGGACCAAGACCCATCTTTTTAGGCAGTCTCGGTCTGGTGGTTTAGTCTGCATCAGGGTTCAACTGACAGCTTCAAACCACCCCAAATGAACAATACTAATTATGCAAACGGACCTGAGTTTGTTTTAACTGAACCAAATGCATTAGGTGTGAAAGCACCTTAAATTATATTACTGGGAGCGACTTGTAAATATGCCACCCATTTTGTATTTCTTTCTTGTTTGTTTGTCATCGTTGTGTATATCTTGTGAAACACCAGCACGGATCAAGAATTGGTGTGCGTGTTGATTTGCAAACAACGTCACTGTGTCTGCTCTACTCACTGCAACTTTGCTCTGCTCTGCATGTGTCTGGATGCAACTTAAACGGAGGCTGGTTTAACCACTGACAGCTAGCTTGACCACAGTCTTTAACGTGGTCCAGGCTGGTTTGAATCGAGTCAGGGTTTGATGTTTCTGCATCAAGCTAGCAGCCACTCACGTCTCCATGGTCAAACCAGCCACCACTGAAATTGCTGTGCCCCAAAATCCTGACCTTTAGATATATGCATTGAAACAGTCCATAATACACACGTGACATCAGCCTTTCAAGATAAGGCGTCAACATATACTGTCACTACTCCATCCATACCACAACTAAGATCTGTTCAGGTCCTATCACCTTTCCAATACTGACCAGCAAACAACACATACAAAATACATACACACTCACAATCAAGCATTTTTACTGTATCGGTTTGAGAAAATTGCCAAAATTAAAGTCCAATATTTGTGCAGCTTGAAATATCTAGGTGATCTGAGGTGTAAACATTGTACACAAGTTCAGCTCCCAGCAAACACCAGCTAACTTCAGAGCGTAGGAAGAGTTTGTGTCTTTTTCCTTTAAATAAAACAACACATTGTTATTTATGTAAACTGCCTATTTATTACCAAAGCATTCATGAGTAATGTAGTTAAGGTGGAGAAAAACATGAAAATGTGTTGTGTTGTATGTTGATTTAAAAGGGCCAGTCCAAAACTTTGCACTGGTGCTCCCAAAAGTTTCGTCAGGGAGCCTCAGTGTTACTAGTGAACAAAGTTAGCATCTCCTATCAATTGCTGCATGTGAAGGAATGATTTACAAAACCATTAAAACCAACATGACACACCAGCAGCTTAGGAAGGATCTCATTAAAGTACCAGCGCAAACTATTTTTATAGCAACTGACACACACTCACACTCAAACGCACCGACACTTTGACCTATGAGCCAGTCTGGACCACAGTGGCCGCGTCGACATGGTCTCGTCCGTACGATTTCAACACCTAATTCATTATCAGCCTCTGCAAGGCCCTGCCATTCCCAGTTAAGTAAGTGGCAGGTTATTAAAAGCAGGAGAGCTGTGCATGTACACATTAGTAAGTGTCACTTACTGGAAAACGCTTCAACCTGGGAGCAGATCAAAAAAGGAAAAATATACCCACGAATGTACTGCTCGACAGAGACAAGACACACCTGTCGTTGCTTTGGAGCAGCACACGATGCAGGAGTATGAGCTACAGGACTCACTGGTTTGTGTTGATATAGTAAATGCAATTTTTAGATGCAAGTTGAAGTCATTTATAATACATTTCAAACCAGCTAACCATAACCTCGAAAGGTTTTAAGGCCTCTGGTGTCAAACAGGAGCAGAATATTCCCTACAGAGTTCAGTTTATAAAGAATTAATGCAGCCATTGACCTAGAAAATTCCCACAAAGATTCTCTTACAGGTCTGCACTCCGGTACACAGATGGACACATTTTACTTTATCTCATTAAATATTATTGCCTTTAATTGTTGTATTAATTCTTACATCATCTGTCTGAATTATGTTGAATTTGCAGGTTATGGTATTGGAAGCGTTCTAGTTTCAGTATGTAGGCTAGTTCACTTGTAGTCTGTTTGTAGTCTGAGGGCTACTGACCACAGTCCATGTGGACAGGCTTGGCATTGGCCAAAATGCAATCTGGAAACCTGTAAGCTATGACAGCTTTATCTTAGCTATTTTAAATTCATCTGAATTCATATGGAAATATCTAGCGGAAATTAGCCACACATTTCCAAATTAGTTTGATCTATGACAGGCTGAATACTACATCAGCAAAAATATTGTGGTGCTGCTGTGATTTTCTTTACAATGAACATAGAATGCAAAGAAGAAACAGCTCTCACACCACAGGGCTCCAATGTTCAGTCCATTTATTAGCACCGTGTGCAGCAGAGTAATACAAGTAACGTTTCGAGCAAGACGCTCTTCATCAGACTTGAACTCTGTCTTTACAATGAACAGAAATGATAATACTATTCTGTTAAAATTCCACAAGTTTCTCCATTAACTGAGATGTGCAAGCATTAGGCAGCAAACACTCGTCTAACATTATCTAAAGATCAGACTTCTGACCTACCTGTGTTCTCAAGGTAGTCTTCCTCTACTCTCTCCTAGCTTAGCAGGAAAGACTCCTTAATACCTCTGTGTTGAGTCGCTAATTAGCTCAAAGCATGTCTCAGTCCTCGACTGCTTAGAGCCTTTTTTTAAATTCTGCCTTTTTATAAAGCTGCAATAAACTTGTGTTTATGAAACAGATACATTAAAATTCCCTAAATGGAAGTTGTATTTACATAACAGGATTAAAAAAAGGATCCTGGCTGGGAAAGACATTACTAAGTAAAGATGTACCAGTTAATGAATTTAGGATTTTTCCACATTAACACACCTTAAATAGGGATGTCAACTGCTACCTGTTAACAGGTTAACTGCAGAGAATATTTCTGACGGATAACACATGTCAGTCTATAGGTTTGTTTTGCTGCTCTTCAGTTTGCTGCACCACGCACTAACCAGGTTTATGAGCAGCTAAATTAACCAAAATGGATATCCCTAACTTTGATACGTACAAGTTTAAGATATCAAATCCATTAATTTTCTAGTGAGAGTGGGAAATTAGCACCAGCCACCTGCCATATGCTGGTAAAAAAAGTGTCAGGTAAATTTCAGACACATAGTCATGATTTACCATTGAGTTGCTGGTGGATTTCAACATTTACCTGTGCTGTATGGGCATGGTTTGCAAACATTTCAATAATACTAACCCACCTCAGGAGGTCTTGGTTGTCTAAAAGTTCACATTTATAATACAAATTTTAAATTAAACAGCACAAAAAGAATTGTTTTATTACATTATGCATTTTACAGGTTGTCTACAGGTATCAGACAGTTAAACTGAATGCTTTTTAAGACCTGTTTAAGACACATTTTAACCACATTTCGGACAGATTTTTGGACAAATCATGTTTTACTTATTAGCCATGTCAGATAAACACTGCAGGCAAGTAGTATGTGGTCTTGTGCAGAGGTAAGTGTTATGTACGATTATGGTTATTAGAGTGAATTGTGTCAATCTACATTTTGCCAACAGGTAAGTGCAAGTATGAAGTAAAATGACAGTATTATAGTTTTTTAATTAGTAACATTAGAAATGTGGACTTTTACATAGAAAGGCTTTACTCATGTTCACAAAAAGAAATTAAAAATGGATATATGAAATAAGATTAAATGGTTGCAGTAGTTAAGACCTCACAAAATATAATTTAAGACTATTTAATGACTTTTAAGGCTTTATTGTTGTAATACTGAATTTAAGACATTTTAAAAACCTGCTTTAGTGTTCCTGCTTCTGCTGTTTCTGTATGTGCCACTAGAATATTTGTTTTTCTACATCTGATCATTGTAAATGTAAATGCAACAGTATTGCCACACAGTCCACAGTGAGTGGTGCTTCCTCGTTGCAATTTGACAAGTAGAAAAGGGCATGATATGATGTTTTGATTCTATCTCTACTTGTGAAAAAATACAAAATTTGTTTTTCCACTATGTGATGTTGTTGGCTACATTTATAACAGGACTGTCTGGATTATTAATATTAACCCTATTAATTGATAAATTCAAAATTATCGTGACATCCTTTACTTAAACTGACCCAGAATCGTTGATGAGTCCACTGTTGGCAACAAATTAATATGTTTATCAAAAAGAGGCTCAGAAGTTAAGGCAAAAAGTCACCACCATCAAACAGCTCGGTTGGCTTTCACGGATTTGGTCAGTGAAAATGCTTAGGGAGGAAGCATGTCCTGCAGGCGGCCCCTATTATCAGTGGGACTAAGAATTAGGCAAGCATTTCACACACCGCTTGAGCCATGACATCAGCCTCTGAAGAAGGGCAGAGAGGGGGATGGAGATGGAGACAGATGGAGGAAGAAGGCACAAAAATAAAGGGCACGAAAACAAAGGGAAATTAAAATGAGAGTGTGTGAGAGCGAGATTAAAAGAGAGCGACAGCCAGGGGGAAATGAAGTGAACTATCAGAGCAACCGCCTGTTACATTGTGTACTTTCAGGAGAAAATCTATCACATTCTCCTATTCCCTGATGGCCTGCCTTGATCCCCTTTCCTCCTCTCATCCTCTCTACTGCTCTCACTCAAACATGCATGTCCACACACACCAAACACACACACACAATCTCTCTCAGTAACTCTAAACTGGCAGGTGCAACTGAGTTAACGCTAACAGAGACATACTTTCTGGCACATTGGCCATCAATCAAGTCCAAATGCTATGATGGCCCATTAAGTGTGTATATTTAAGCCTCTATGAGGGGCTGTTTATTGGTGCAGTAGCCCCTCATGAGACAGATAGCGGCCAACTGTTGCTCGGCATATTGTGTCCCACTGTGCTGCTTCCTCTCCCCCAGACACAAGTATGCAGTCATAGAAATACACAGAATACTACAGCAAAGATACCATCCAGTTAAGCCTCCACACACACACACACACACACACACACACACACAGAACAGGTAGGCCACACTGGGAGTGGTATGAGGTTCCCGGAGTGATAGTGTTACACTTTGTGCATGGTGTGGACACCTCCCCACTCTCCCTGTTCACCCAGCATTCAAATGGGACTCATAGATACCATCCACCGCTGCTGGCCTTTTCTTGTTCCTCATTACATCATCCCTTCATAACAGTCAGCAGCCACCACCAAAGAACACAGCGGCTGACTACTTCTTGATGCTTTCTGTCACATTTGGGATATGACATGGGCAACACAGCTGTCTTAAAATGTTACATAAAATGCACTACTGCAGCAGCATTCAAAAGTCAAGCAGGGGCCCACTGGTTTGCATCCATGTCCTCTCAAGAAGAGGCTGATTTCAACCTTTAAAGGCCAGTGAATGCAACAAACATGCGTTTGTGGGTTAGTTTTGCACATGGGTAAAATCTAATTGAGATAAACCTGCTAAACTAAGTTTTTTTTTTTGACATGGCACATCAAACATTGCACTGTACTGTCCTGTAGAAGTGCAAGCAAACAATAGAGATTATCCTAAGCATTTGGGATGTAGGTTAAACATGGATATCCCAATTCATGCTTGTTGTTGTACCTCAATCTTTAGGCTACTGCTACTAATGCAAAACAACATTTCCCCAGCTGAAATGCTTGTGGTTTGAGTATTTAACATCCTCCATCCATGCAGCTCTGACCGCATCTCCCTTTAATGCACTGGAAACAGCAATCCACCGGAATGCACTTTGGTGGGAAACAGAGGCGACCTTACCGCATCCCGGATGAGCTGATTCATTTGCCCGATTACAACTAAAGGGTCACTGTTGCTTGTAAGACTCTTAAAACACCCCAAACAGCCTGTTTACCTCCTCAAAAACAGGGAGTCCTAGGTCGGAGCCGCTGCAGCTGCTCAAAGCGGCGCGGAGGGAGAGATATTATTAACAGCCCCTTCACAACAACAGACTGCTCATACCTACCTTTAAAACGACCGTCGCCTCTCTCCACTAATCCCGCAGCACATTGTCAGGTAATCAGCCTCTTCCATGTGTAATGACTCAACTCGGGGCAGACAGACCGCGAGCTGCAGCAGAGGCTCGCGAGCTAGTGCGGCGTCCGTGTGATGAAACCGTACACCTGTTTTTCGACGCGCATGGATGTCGCCGGTGTCGGTCAGCTAAGTAAAGACAACTCCCTCTCTCGGGGGTCACAAGGGCTCGGATAGCAATGCGGTGAAGTCGTCCTGTCCCCGTTTTTCCCCCTCACAACACACAAACCACCACGGAAGAGGCGACGCGGCGACACAAGTAGTTACCGCATGCCGCTGTGTTTTTGTGTGTTTGACTACGCCGCCAGTCGCACCGCGGTCCCGCAGCTCTCACACCGCTCCGCCGGCTCTCAAACACTCCCGTCTGTCCCGAAATGGACTGAACCTGCCTCCTGTTTCCGCTTTTTATTATTATTGAATGATGCCGTGGCTCCGTGCGCAAAATGGCCTCTGTTATTTTCATTCAGCAACAGTCCACCGCGAGCTTCTCATTGGGTCTGCGTGTAGCCATGGCAACGCCCGCGGTTCAATCAGTGCTCACAGAGGACACACACACACACACACACACACACACACACACACACACACATAGCAGGCCTGTGTGCAGCTCACAGCTAACAGCAAAGTGCCACTTTACCCTGCATCTGCAGCAGAAACTTTAATGGAGGCTCCATGCTGTGTGTTAATGGCCACAACATGATAATAATACAGCGAGGCTTACTGGGTGATCCACATACAGCCATGCTGGGAATAAAGCTCGAGCTGTGCCAACATGTATATGTGTTTCCCTGGCAGCATACCATGTTGTCATCAAACTGTTTCAGGCCATATGTGGAGCTATTAATAAATGACAAGTATGTTATAGCTTGGCATCCTTGTAGAATTAGGCTACTGGGCTGTTTGAAATGGGCCTGACTTGTGTTATTAGGGTAGGGTTACATTTTCTATTAAAGAACTGAAAAAGATAAACTTAAAATAAACCTGTAGGGCCACACTAAGCATACAGGTAAGCCTTCAATATCTTCTTTATACACTGTAGAAGTGCAAGCAGAGTAGAGGTTATATCTAGGCAGAGTTATGTAATTAATTTACAAAATAAATGTCATTTTAATCAGTTACTGAGAAAAAATCTTTAAATTACAGTTACTGATCAAAATGTTACAAAGGATTATATCCAAATATATTCTTTTTGGTAAAAAAAAAACAAAAAAACGTAGCCTTAGACATTTATTCTGTTGCTTTGCATCTTTTCTCTTTTTTGTGGTGCAGAAATGTTTTCTTCTGGCAGAGCCTATTTTCAGACATTTTTTTAGCTTTATTGCCCAGTTTAAAACATTTGAGATTATAAAGGGGTTGCATGTAAATATATTCTTTCTGTTAAAAATAATATGTGTGGAATATAACATTCATTCTGTTCTTTCCACGAGTGCAGCTTAACTTAGCTTATCTTAATTGCCCACTTTAACACATTTGTTAGAAAACTATTCAAAACATAATTAAATATAATAAGTTACATTACTTTGATGAAGTAATTAGAATAGTAGTAATAGAACTAGTTTTAACAGGGTAACTAGTAACCTGTAAATTATTACATTTAAAAAGTAACCTTTCCAACACTGTAAATAGGTAAAACAAGGATATTTATATTACTCAAATGTTATTATAGTAGGCTATTGCAGACATTTTGTTTGCAACCACTTACGCCTTGTTTTCACTTACATATGTGACTGGTGTCCATGGAGCCGTGAGTTTATGGATGATGCCTCTAGTGTCCAATGCAAGGAAGTGCATTTCTTTACAGATGGATAGAAACCTAATAGAAACTACCTAGCTGTGGGGAAGAGGCTAATTTTGTCAATTTTTTTGCCATCCAGTAGTTTGGAATATGCGCTTTAAACAGCACCAGGACAAAAACAGGACCAATACTGCATTGCAACAAATAACTGAAGATGCTGGACTGCCAGGTACGTGGCATGTTTTGTGAAATATTCCATTAAAAAGACTTATGAACGGCTGAAGGAGTCATAATGACAATCTGACTGTATGAAATATTTTAACAGAATAACATTACTCAGATTCACAATGCGTTAAAACTAGATAAACAAGTTCTTTTTATTCAAACAAACTCACTTGACATCAACACAGGCAACTGAATTTAAGAAAATAGCCTGTTAGCTAGTTAGCAGCCTGTTAGCTTAGCTAGCACACCGTCATAGAGTCCCTACGAAATCCACCGCAAATGTTCAAATTTTTTTGAACGCACCCGAGGCAGTCCGGACCAAAATATTACGAAGGGGAGGGAGTTTTGCAGGCACATCAGATATCACACAGATTCCCATAGGAATGAATGGACCTCTGTTTGACTCATCTCCGTACGCATATGTTGGTGTATGTTAGTCCTAGATGCCTAGTCCTTGACAGACAGTCTGACCAAAAAAAAAAAAAATAGCAGTGTTGGGAAGGTTACTTTAATAGGTTACAGATTACTATAATCTGTTAAAAAAAATAAGTGGTGAAACTATTTGAATTACTTCATCAAAGTAATGTAACTCATTGTCTGGAAATAGGCTTTGCCAGAAGAAGGCATTCCTGCATGAGAAAAAGTGAAAAAGATGCAAAGCAACAGAATGAATGTTTTATGCTACATATTAGCTTTTTCTTAAAAATAATATATTTGGATATAATCCTTTGTAATCACCAACATCTTGATTAGTAACTGTAATTTAGAGACATTTTTGTCTCAGTAACTGTAACCGATTACAATTACATCTATTTTGTAGTTTTAGTCACATGTACTGTAACTAGCTGCTCCCCAACACTGGATAACAGAGCGGTGCAGGAATGAGTCCAAAAACCCGGAGGTGAGTCAGCATTTTTGCACTCTCAGTTGCCTTGCCTTGAATTCAGTTGGTTGTTTTGATTGGTTTTTTTTGGTTAGATGTCTGAAATAAGGTCTGTGGTTAACACAAGCTTCAGACACTTTTTGTTCCACGACATAAAATACATCAGCAAACTAGTCGTGAATTTAGAAGCTTTTGCATGTCTTAAAAAAAGCAGTTGCTAACAAGTGGCTAAATGAGACTGCAGAACATCATTGCACCAAACATGGCCTTTACAGTCTTGTGGTGGCAACACTAAAGAAATCGACCATAGTATAGGAGTTCTTTTATAGCCTAAGGTTAGCGTTTTACTTCTGGTGACTGCATTTAAACAATCATAGTGGTATTGGCATTTTGGTTTACTGGTTTATTTCTATAGTGGTATGCATTTGTGAAGATTATCTTGCTGAGCAAAACATATAGTATCATAATCCTTTGTTTGCCACAGAATTTATTTTCAGCAATAATCCAAATCCAATGGAAATATCCCACTGGCTTTATGTCGAGGGAACCAGGGCGATATTAACTTCTATGTTGGCCTACAAATAAACATCATCTCTGCAGCACTCTGTAGAACAGGACTACAGATTCCAGTAGCCTATATCTGCATTTCTGTGAGGTGTTTTGGATAAATGAGTTTCCATAGTTAGCTTCTACCAATCATTAATCATCGTGGTGCATCTACACAGCAACTGTTTCAGTGTTAACACCGCATGTGTGGATTTTTCAGTTGTTGACAGAGCACTGACATCATTTTGCCGCAGTGAAATCCTGTAATGATCTGAAAGTGTTAAACTCTGATGGGTGTGGATTTATATCAGCACTGGCATGGTGTTGATTTTAACACACAACATTTTAAATTGAAACTGACGTTTGCTAGGTAAACGCCAAAGCTGAATTATGGTTTCGTCTCTTTAAGTGCTGCCCTGTAACAAAGCCGTATTTGTTTTAACTCTGTCTTCATCAGGCAAAGCAACTGGACCGTGTCTTGATTTTTGATGGTTTAACTTGGGAATTCTCCCTCTAGCTGTCTGTGTGTCTCCTTCTCTGTCTCTCACACACACCAAGCTGTTAAATTATTTACAGACTGGATGGTAGCCCTTTATAGTCAATGCTGGGTATCCTGTGACCATGGCAGAAAACATGGCCTTTACACATTTACCACATTGGTTACTTTTGTTTTAAATGACATAACATGAGTAGTCTGTCCTCTGGGCCTCTTATTGTGCACCCAGAGAAGCAGCTAAACCAACAGGTTCAAAACAAAATCTATATATCCATCTAATGTTTGCAGTAATTACAAATATGAAGTCTCAGTGCAACATCAGAGACATAGATCTGCAGACTTGGATTAAAAGGCAAAAGCCCCATTGCTCATGAATTCTTAAAACCTTCAGAGGGCTGTTAGAGACAGTCTAGTGAGCTGATATGGAAAGATATGACCCTTTTACCTTGTGAAAATGTCACTTAAGGAATGCATCCATTCTTATGTAAATGTCTGACAAATCCTTCACGAGCTTACGCAATAGTGCCAAGTTTATGTGTTCACCTGTTCAGCCTAATGGTGTTTTTAATAGCTTTGTGATTATGCAAAGCTAACTCACATCCCCCACCAAACAGCAGCAGAAATTGCACTGCTTTATGTAAATCCTAATAATAAAACCACTTTTACGTAATGAAACTGATGAATGACCTTGTTTGCTTAAAAAAAGGAATTTTCTGCAGCGCTTTTAATCTGTAGATCACCTGGTTTTATGTTAATATAAAAATCATGTCCTCTCTAACGATATTCCTGTCAGTTGATTTAGTATGGTGAATATTTCTGATCATACTGTATTTTACTATATAATGCTCCAAGATGGTGGAACCTCTCTCTAAGGTCAATTAACATGTCAGCTTAGATTTAAGTAATACTTTAAGTTACATTAATGACAAATAACTAATAAGCCATTTTAAAGCTGCAGTGTTATTTTGTTGTTCACACATGCATAAAGAGCCCTTTCTCCTGTCAACATTAAAGGTGCACAAATTTAGACCGTTATTGATAGTTGACCTTTTCAAAGTGTCAACGAGACCACATCTGTGAGTGTGTGTGTGTGTGTGTGTGTGTGTGTGTGTGTGTGTGTGTGTGTGTGTGTGTGTAGACGCACGCATGCATGGGTTAGGTCTTTTATCACCAGCTCTTATGTGCGGCACAGGCAGCTCTTACTGAATCTTACTGTTGTCAAGTAGGTCCCTTTTTATAGGTGGTATGTTATCCACAGACATATTCTCAGCGATCCAGTCTGACGGGGCGAGCGAGGATGATGACGTTACATTATGCCTGGTATGCGGTGGTCCACTGGTGGTACAGGTGCAGACATACTGAGGGAGGAGCTTAGGATGCTGAGACACATTACAGAACAAGATTAATGGCATGGCTACACAGGAGGTGTTTCAGACGTGTTTTCAGACGTCCGTCTCACACACAGAACAGATAAGCTTCTATTTTAATCAATTCAGCTGTCTACATAGGCAGCATAACAGCTTGCATTTCACTGGCGCTATATTTGCACGAAACCACAATCCCAAGACTCATTTTTACACTGTAAGTCTATTTCCT